AGCGCGTGTATAAGCAAACCATCAGTCGCGCAAATATTCCAATAGACAACGAGCGAGAAAAAGCAGGTGCCCTCGTTTCTGCGCGTAAAAGTAAGCGCGATCTATAAATCGTAAATTACCTATTTTCCAAAAAAACCCCGAGAGTCTATATACCATCGTACCTCGAAAGTCTTTCGATCGGGCCTCTATCCTTCTTTTTCTCGAAATAAAACGCGCGCTAGCTTGTACCATGCCGATTTATAAATTCCTATACTCGCCTCCACCGTGTCCCTTAAATAGACCATCAGTGTATCATAGCCGTGACTGTGAGAAAAAAAAGAATACAGCGAGGAAACCTCTTCCCTCCCGAGCTCGACTATTCTCGTAAAGCATAACACCCCAAATGATCGGCCGGTCGCGTGCGCACAGCTTTTTCTTGTTTCCCTTCTCGCGATCGCCCCGTTTGTTTGCTCTTCGACGCACGTTTGCATTTTCCTCTTCGATGGCGCCTCGGTCGAAGGACCCGATAAATCAATCGAACCTGCCTCCGTACACCATCGAATTCATACCGATCGAGCGTTTGTTTTTCATCGGCCGATCTCTGTATGTATGGAATTTTCGCCTCTCCGCAACTGGCCCGCGCGTGTGTGCTCTTCTCGTGTACCTAAGGCAGGATTTTTTTTTTTTTACTTTAACGCGAGCCTACCCCTTTTTTTATACAGGTACTCGTTCGTGGTTCTTTTGTTGCTATGATTACGGGCGTAATTACATGATTACACGAATAATGGCTCGATGTAATTGAGCCGTTGAGTACTGCAGGCCTGCAGAGCACGGGGCAACTGTGAGCTCTGTGTGACCGGAGTCGATTGTGTTGCCCTTTCTTTGCTGTTATACTCGAGATTCTTAATTTAATGGCTTTATGAAACGCGTACACGTCAAGAACTTGTAGTCTGCTTTTGTGAAGTGTAACGATGTAGGTATACTCTTTTTTTTTTTTCCACATTGTAGGTACTTTTGTTACATCGTCCGTGGAATTTTTTTTTTTTTTTTCAAAACGATTAAATCGAATTGTCAATAGTTATTTGCTTCTTTAAAAGAAAACATTATCGTTAAGAATTATCAATTTGAAAAGAGGAAAAATTATTTATTTTTGGTGGCTAAACGCGGCACGATACTATGTAATACAACAACGACGGTTGCAAATGTGAATTTTTTGTCTGTCTCCTGCATCTCTTTAAATTAAAAACATCCTTACAAATAAAACGAGCTATCGAGTCAAGCAGCTCGCAAAACCTCTTGGCATAACTTTTATTCGCAGCAGTTGATTAGATGATTCCCCTCGTGCAGGTATATATTTGATAAAGGAATGCGCTTATACGTATAAAGAGCAAAAGCGTGTAATGGCAGATACGTAACAAGGAGTTCTTGAAGAATTACTACGTCTGCCGTGACGATTGTGTCTTTGCACTGCTTGAGAAAATTCTCATCGAATCGAGTACTCACCGGAGCTAAAAACTTTCTCACACGCGATCGTTCCCCTCTCGCAAACTTTTCGCTTTGAAAAAAAAAAAAAAAAAAAAAAACCACAAATCGGCTCAAAATGGTCGCGTTTTCGGACCCAAGAGCTCGACGAGGAGACCAGGCCCTCTAGGACCCACCCGTGCAGAAGGTGCACATCCGCCAAGACGACGCAGACTTTGGAGGGCCTCCCTGGCTCACAATACGCGCGCGGCCTGATTTATGGCCCGGCACACGCACACGCATTCGCGCTCACTGAGAGAGAGAGAGAGTCACACACGATATCATAATACCATTAATTCTTCGTCAAATTCCCCGCTGACTGAATCATACTGGCCGCGCAGTAAATCACGCGCCGACTAATGTGAGCGCACACGCCGCGACAGACCGACTTTCTTTCTCTCTTTTGGTCTTCTTCCTCCGCGTCCTCCTTATACATGTACAACTTATGCGTGCACACGCAGCTGGTGCTGTTGTACGTTTTATCTGCGCGGGGGCTGCAGGTGGATTCCCTTTTCCGTATAATATCGGCACAGTTAGCTTTCGGTTTCGCCTTTTCAAGCCGAGACTCGACTTTCTCGTGTACTCCGGGATTTACCGGATTATTTCATACACGCGTTAGAGGGTGTCGATCGAAAGAATTTCGGGAATGGCCCACAGCACGGGTATGATGGATTTTTCGGCCGCTCTGCGAGATCCGCCGGATCTTTATTTTATTTTTATTTTTTTTCCAGAGCCAAGCGTAAAGGGAGGGGGTGACTGGCTGTCCGTTCGTGCAGCTCGTGCTTTTGCGAATAACATAATGAGCCCTGAAAAATCGTTCTCGAATCGTAATGTGACGGGTTGCGTAATGGACGTTGTGTGTACGGCCGACGAGGATTAATTGATTTATTTTCCAGAGAGAAAGAGAACTCGTCGTCGGCATTCCTCGACGGTACATTATATTGTGTGTATACATGTATGATAAATATCAATAGTCTAATGCGCAGCGTTTATGTGTATCAACACCTCGCATCGTTTGTCATCTCTTGTGTGTGTCTGTGTGTGTGTGTATTGTGTTGGTGATGGTCGTGCCTTCGGCAAGTGGATCCTTGAATCCTTTGCGCCGAATCGCGTATGAGGAAACAAAATCGAGGAACCGTATCCTTATACATACGTACCTCAATAGTTTCTTGTATTTATTACGAACACGTGGCAATTTAGCACAACTCCATGGCCTTTTTCGCCGTTTTATCTCTTGGAGTTATTGTTGTGTATTTTTTTCAAATAATCGATAATATACGTACGACTGAAGCGCGCATGCAATTACCAAGCCTACGTAATAATTCATTGCAACAACAGGTAATTCCAATGCCGAGTATTTTCTCGCCAGGGATTCATGCAAAATCGGCTTGCATAAAACATTTTCACAGTGAATTCCTATGATATATTTCGTCGTGTAGCTTAGATGTGACGAGAGTTATGTAAAACAGCCTCGTGAGAGAATCATACGAATCCTGAATCGGGTTGTAATTACTTTACACCTAAACGAATCTGCAAACAACCGATTTACCGATTAAAAATACCTCGTGAATCTTTGGGGAGTGAGGGAGTACGATTCCCAACGGAGGTCATTGGCGATTTTTATTATGCCGTTTCAAAACACCGGGTGACTCTTTTCTTCCGCATACAATGTTGTATATATCTTTTGGTTTTAACGAAAACATCGTGGCGAAGTTTACGTCCCGCTAGTATCCAGTGCGCAGAATAAAAGCCGAGTGGAACAACCGAGAGATCCGGTGATATTCGAAAACATTCATTAATCAGCGATATTTATCGTGCCGATACGATCTGTCCGATCGAAGGCACCGTAGGCGGTAATTTTTCCCTCGCGGCGGCAAAATTTCCCGAGCGTCGCGCGACGGATCGAGTTTTGAGCTGTTTAAAAGTATAAACACCCAACGCGGGCGGCACTACATGAAACGGCGGCTCGGGAAGGAACAGAAAAAAAAAAAAAAAAAAAAAAAGTGTACGCAAAGCTCGCAGGGCCCGAAAAAACACGTGCGACTTCCTCCTCCCCGCCTGTCTGTCCGCCGACCACACACGGATCGTTTTTTCGGCTTTCCGAGATGCTCCGGGCCAGCCCTTGGGGGCGCGAGTATAGAGATCTGGTGCACGCAGTGCACCCACACGGGCATTAATGGGCCGTTTGTTGCGTTTGGGGCCTTTTTTTCCTTGCCCCGCCTTCGGGGAGGAAGCCTCGGCTCCTGTGTTCTCGAGCAAATTGCGCGCGAGTGGCTCTTTTGTCGCTTTCTTATTGCGACGATTGATGCCCGGGGATAAATTTATGATGCCAAGGGGGACACCCTTTCCTTTCATTCCCCAACTGGGGCCTTGTGTACCGTGGAGTGTTTGCGTTCACCGATCGGGTCGTCGTTTCATTTTTTATGTTAGACTTACGTTTTTTAATCAACATTACGTCGCGAAATTTTTCACTCAGAAGTACGGTTGGACAATTAATGTTTTAACAGATTATGAATTGTTTGGTATACTATTTGGCCGTGTGGATCGAATAGTAGAGAGACAGGCTCGCATTACCTGCATGTTAATTCTATAAAAAGTGTTGGGTTCAACTTTTTGACGTCTACGTAAGTTGTTGTATTATGATGTTGCAAGCGAGGTTGCAGGATAGCTCGCATGATTATAATAATAAATTTGAAAGTTGCAAATAATGCGATATGATGTTTATTTTATTTATAGTTATAATTGATTACGTTGTATCCTCATGGAATAACCAAACGCGCAAAACATAAATTATGAAAATTTCATCATTTTACTGTATGGCAATAAATGATGAAAAAATTATGCGTGAAAATTTGTGTGTTTATTCTTTAATATATGAATACTTGTGTTACTTGAGACAGATATAAAAAAAAAGTACTTAATTATAATAAAGCAGATAAGGGTATCTTAATGACAGAAAACTACACGGCTCTTTGCGGTAAGTATACAGCTGCTGGTGTTTGGACTCGTATACAGCGCTACTGAATTTATTGGCACGTATACCTATAGTTTCTTTATTTTGAGATACATTTTTTTATTAAGCGTCTAATAGATATATGCTATAGCTACGGGCTATTCGGGAACATGGAGGACACGTTTTTTGAGTTGAAATTATAATTTTCGCCTGGGATTTCCGACCATAATTCATTTCCAGTTTACAAACGTGGAACAAGTGTATCTTGCTTTCTCGTGGGTAACATTTTTATTTTAAACGACCGCATCGTGGGACCTTGACACGTTTCGTTATCTCGGTCTTTTGAAAAAAAAAAAAAAATCCCTCTGCCGCCGAAAGCACGTGCAAAATACCAAAGTAACCAAATCAGTCCGATTCCCTATACTTTTTCCCCCGTTGCATCGCACAAATTGTTCGTATCGCTATACTCTAGTTGGTCCATTGATTCTCAACGTGAATAGATAAAAAAAAAAAAAAATGAAATTAGAAATAAAGACAAGCAACTCACTCTGTCCGATGTGCACCCTCTTCATCCAGGGGTAGATCTGGGGCGGATTCTGCCCTGATCCGCTGCCCTTGGTCGACGAGTTGTTCCCGGTGCTGCTCGTGCTCGACGTCGACGAAGCTGGCGAGGAAGCCGAGGAGGCCGTCGTCAGAGCTGCACCGCCCTCCCCGGTGGTCCGACCACCAACGCTGGGTGGCGACGACACCGAGGCGGCAGCCACCGAGGACCTAGAGGAGCCACCGGGCGTCGAGGCCATCTGCCCACTGGTACCCGGTTTGCTGGTCCCTGCAGGCCCGAGCCCCGGGGCGGGACTGTTCCTCGCGTTCGTCGACGTGGTGAGGTCCTGAGGACTCGAGACGTTCGCCGAGGCCGTCGAGTCCGCGTACTTGCAGCTCGAGGCAGCCGCTGCCGCCGCGGCCACCGCCGCCGACTGGCCCACCGCCGCGGCAGCCGCAGCCGCCACCGCGGCCGCCTGGAGCAGCGGGCTCGTGGGGTCCGGGTGGAGCTGTTGTTGTTGCTGCTGTTGGAGGTGCTGCTGGTGGTGCTGCTGGGCAGCGTGTAGGCTGTGCTGTTGGGCGGTCGCGGCGGCGCTGAGCCGGGACTGGGGCTGTAACTGGGTGTAGTCTATCATGCCCGGGGGTGCCGAGTGCTGCATCCCCGAGGCAGGGGTGGCGTACGGGTGTTGGGGGTAATGCTGTTGGGGCGAGTAGCAGGGCGTGGGGTAGCCCGCGCTCGCCGCGTTGGGGTTGTAGTAGTCGGCCCCTGCCGGGGAGGCCGCTTGTAGGGACTCGCTCGGCGAGTTTGCAGCGCCTCTGGGGCCCTGCTGTTGGGCCTGGGCGTTGGCGTAGCAGGACGCGAGGGGGTTGACAAACTGGTAGGAACTCATGACTGCGCTGGTCGCTACCTCCGGGGTGTAGGGTTCGGGTGGCTCGGGTTGCACCGGACGAGCGGTGGTGACACTTGGAAGGAAGAGTGCGTGTCTCGTACTCTCTCACTGATGCAACTGCTACTCAACTGACGGGCGTCGAGTCATTGTCACTCGGATATGCCACTTTGGTCCCTTTTCACTCGTGCGTACAAACTGTCCGTCTCACGAGATCGGGCACCGACACGAGATCGGCATCGCGTACACACTGTCGAACGATCCGCGTGTCAAGTCTTACGGTTCACCAATCCTCGCGTTATTCACCAAAATCTTGCGCACTTTTTTACTCACCCCCTTTTATTTCTATTGACTCTTCGAGAGCCAAAGATACGAGGCCCCTCGAATAGCCGAGCACCAATCGGAGCCTCGCAAGGATTCGTCGATGATGATGATGATGATTATGGTGGTAATAGAGAGAGGCGAGTCGTTCTCTTCCTCCTCTCTCTCTCTGTTTCTCTGCTGTTTTACGAGTCCGCCACGTGCTCGGAGGGCTATAAAACTGTCCAGAGCTTCTTTACGACCTTACCGAGCTCTAAGAGTGGTGGTCGCGCGATTACAGGCGACGAAGGCGTGTTCGCCGTTGTACCAAAGAGAGGGAGTGATCGGCCTCCACAATGGGGCACGGTGGGCCCTATCGGGTCTCCCCCATTCGCTCGTTAATTATTGCACTTGTTTCTGTTTGTCCGTATAATCGCGCACTGGTACAGCCGAGTCTCTTTCGATGATTGTCTTTTTTTATTATTCCCTTGCTTTAGCAAAGAAACGAGTAAAATCAAACAAAAACACCGGATCTCGCGAAAATCGTCGAAACGGAATATTGGCGCTGAAAATCGGATGAAATCGGTATATCCGTATAAAGCGATAGCGAGTAAAAAAACGCGCGTACCGAACGAAGAGCCGAGCAAGAGTGCGACGATTGGTCGAGTGGGTGATGTATCTCTCACTCCTTGTTTCCGTCGCGATGCGTGCGCGGAAGGCGGCTGGTATCGTACTGACTGCGGGAGAGGCCTCGCGGATCCTCGGCGGGCAGGCCGGCGAGTGCTTGCGCTGCCCCGCGCGGTAGCTGTCACGTGCCGCGCGCTGCCGTTCGGCTCTCGGCGTGTCAAGAGGCTGGGGGCCGTGGTGGCTTGCGCTCGGCTCTCTGCGCGCACCGACACCGACGACGACCAATCCCCGTCGTTCGTCAAACCTTGATTGGTCTCTCTCGTCGGCCCGCTGGATTCTTCAACCCCGTTCAACTCGCTCTCCTTCCTTCTTCTACTTCTTCCTTTTCTTTTGCTTCTCCTCTTTCTTTCGTTTTTTTTTTTTTTTTCCTTCTCTCGCTCGCTCACACTCGCGCCGTGCCAGTGTCGTAATGTTGCAGTCGTTCCAATGTTGCTCTGGTCACTCTCTCTCTCTCTCTCTCTCTCTCTTGCACCACGAATGTGTATACGAGTGACAAGCCACCCAAGCCAAAGAAGTGGAAGAGGGGTGCACAAGTATGCGTGTGAGGGGGGGTACCTACATACGATTACGTACCCGAAGAGCGAGAAAGGAGGGAGTTAGCGAGGGGAGGGGGCTAATGGAGATATATATATATATATTCGAGAAGCAAAGTTTCCCAGGGTGGGGGAGAAGGGAGTGGGACAAAGATGACCGTGTGTGTTGCTCTTATTCTTACGTGTTTTGCGGAAAGCTTCGATCATCCACAATGCTCCAGTGCTTGAATCCTCGATGAACAGTGCAGGACAACGGTGGTGGAGGGACACTTTTTAACTCTACCTTAGAACTGAAGGTGGAATCATTTTCCGAGACAAACTATGGGAATTCAATACTTCGAGTGATCGAAAGTTATTTTACCATTAGGAAATCATATAGAATCAATTTTTTCTTCTTTTTTTAGATCGATTAAATTGATATTATGTTCGCCCATAGGGGTTGAGCAACGATTTCATGGGTTTCAAGTTATCCATGTAAAATCGTTGAGGATCGGTTTATCGGTTCAAGACGTAAAAATCTTCCAAAATTATTGAACAACTTCCTAAGGACCAGAATGGCGTCAACGAAAATTAAACTTGACTCATAGTCAGTAGAAAACCCTTCAAATACCTCCAAATGACTTTGCAATCGTTAGAGAGACCTGTAAGTCCTGAGACCCATGATTTTCGATACAGCACCAGTTAGTTGAACCAATTCTTGCGAATCGGGTTCAACGAAGATCGAAAGAATCAAAGAGCAATCACGATCGTCATCGTTGCACGTGGTCCACGTCCAGCAGAGACACAACGAGTCGTTTGTGCAAACCGTCGGGCTGTAAAAGACCACTGTACGTACGGTGTATCCGCTGATTCCCGCAAAGCCGAGAGGCAAAGAGAAAGAGAGAGATATAAGTACCATAGATGGAAGGGGAGCCCCGGGAGCGAGGCGCATAAGTCAGAGCCGGCGGTCGCGGGCTGACAGTTTTATGAGAGTTTGATAGCCCCGCTCGCGCGCACGCCTCCCTTTCTTTCTTTCTTCCTCGCTATCCACCGCTGCTGCTGCTGCTGCTGTACACAAACCCTTAAACACCTCGGATGATCACTCTCCTTGGGAGTATCTCGTCGGCCGTGTCCTGTAGGGACGACTGCCGCAAGGAGATGAAGACGAGAGAGACTGGACGACAAAGGAAGTAATCCGCGCACTGCTCCATTGTCCCATAAATTCAAACCTGTTGCGAGGCCTCCGAACACGTGTGAGATGGATTCGCAGACACGGGTCGTGCCGACTGGTTATAGGGTATGTATAGGTGGTGAGATTAAAAATAAGAGGGAGCAAAGAGAGAGAGAGATAGAGGTGGAGGGTGGGCGAGGGAGTTATTTATTGTCCCGAATCGTTGGTACAAGTACTAAGCGCCCATTAGACCCTCGTGTAAGTATATACTCCTCGTTTTGCCACTGCCGCTGAACTGCTTGCACTCGGGCCGTCGGAGCGCATCGTCCTCGTAAGCTGGCATGGCCCATACGTGTACATAATGTAGCCTCCGAACCGGAGTGAAAAAAAAAAAAAAAAAAAAAAAAAAGACCACGGCGCGAGCCCATGTACTTAGTTGCCAAACGCGTGCACTCTTTGCTCTCGCGATCCTTTAAAAAAAAAAAAAAAAAAAAGAGAGAGGGGTTCCTTCGAGAGGTACGAGAGGGAGAGAGATAGCCGAGGATCAAGTATCCGTGCGGAGGGGAGAGGAGGTCGTCGCAGGAGGCGGAGCCCTCTGCTTCCTCCTTGGCCGCGCTCCTTCTTTCTCTCGTGTTTTCTCTGCTGCTTTGGTGAAGTTCTGTAATCTGTGTGTGCTATCCCCTCGCCCCTGTGTCTCGTTGTCCCGATAATTGGCACCGCGTGATTACGACCTTTTTAAAAGTATCCCTGTACCTCGTGCTCGTTTTAAGTGTCCAGTTTTGATTAGATCGCTGTGCCAACTTGAATGAGAAAGTTGTTTTTACCCAGCATAGTAGTTTTTCTTTTTTTTTTTTTTTTTTTTTTTTTTTTTTTNTTTTTTTTTTTTTTTTTTTTTTTTTTTTTGTATATTAAAAACTCGCAAAGTGCTCTTTGGAGTGGATTTTTAGTTTTTATTTTACACTCCAAAATGGAAAATTTTGCAATAGACCATCCCATCACGGTGCAGGTACAACGATACGCATACAGTGGTACTACACATCCGCTTCGTCTAACCGCGGGAACGTAATTGTTTCCTGGTACGTAATTACAATCCTGGGACAGATTACAGGCATTTACGTAAGAATTAATAAATTTCCGTCGTTCAAGAGCCACAACGAGGAGAACCGTCCGATGGGCGAAGATTTAATTTTTATCAGCCGACCGAAAGCCGCTTTAATTATTTTTATTATTTTTGAAAACCAATTACAGTCTGTCTCTATAATTGCCAAGGTTTTTCGCGAAAATCCAATATCTCACCGCAGCTCCTATAAACGGCAGGAGCCACATCACGGAGCGAGTTGCGTCCTTTGGCCACCAGATGGTATCCTAGGTACTGCTCTGAATTGTAACTCGCGCCCGCCTCCTGGCAGTCTTACCCCCACCACCGCCCCCTCTCTCCGGCCGTAAGCTTTTCTCTCTTCGAGTCCACTTTGCGTATACATACGTTGGGCTATATACAGCCACCTCCTCCACCTCCGCAAGCGATCGGCAACGTGCTCTACGGCACCTATTTGTCTGTATATAGTGATACAGAGGTACGGTGTCCCCCCCACCACCACCACCTCAAGCTATTGTCCCTATCTCCCTCTCTCTCTCTCTCCACCTTTGCGTGCATTTTGCCTACACCTTCTCTACTCTGCATACTTTGGCCGACAGTTGCTCGAGCCCCTTGTGCCCTTCGACGTCAGACCCTCTGATGCTGTGAGAGGATGTCTGGTCCTTGACTTTACCTAATTAGTTTTCTTTTTCTTTTTTTTTTTTTTTTTTTCTCAACAGCTGCACGATAAGCTTGTTTTATTTTTTAAAGCGGTTATCATAATTAAATGTCGATTTTATTTCTAATTTTGTTGCTTCGTATTTTGTGGATCTTATAATAATTTTTTTCCATACCTTAACTTTTTTATCCACATTATTTACTGAAGTATGAAACGACTCGTGTGAAAAAAAAAATTAAAAAATGTTTTAAGCAGCCAACGATAATTTTATGACAAACTTCAATTCTTTTTTCAGTATTTTATTTCCAACGTAACATTATTTTTCTATTATTTGATCAAATTTGGTATGAATTGTTTATGTTGCCCATTAAAAAAAAAATTAAAAAATGTTTTAAGCAGCCAACGATAATTTTATCACATACTTCATTATTTTTCTATTATTTAATCAAATTTGGTATGAATTGTTTATGTTGCCCATTTAATAATAATGTGACTAAGTATAATTTTTTTTTTTATCGAATTTTCATAGTAATACTGTGGCGGCTATGTAAGACCTCAAATACATGGCGTATTACATAAAGTTCGTTTTATATTATTTTATTACAGTACATTCGTAAAGTCGCGACATTATGATTATTCTAAGAATTTTAAAGTTATATTTATAAGTCTATTTTTAAAACTAATTAATTTAAAAAAACTAACTGTCTGATTACATTTTTCAACA